TCCACTGAGTTGATTATCATAGATAATCAACGACATCAGGGACGTTAAATTCCCAATCGCAGCCGGAATAGATCCTTCCAGTCTATTCGTGTTCAAAAGAAGTTGTTCTAGCTTGGGCAAGTGACAAATCTCATCTGGAATTTCACCTGTCAATGCATTGTCACTCAAATCCAAGTACGTCAGTTCTTGAAGAATTCCAATCTCCTCCGGAATTGATCCTGACAAGTTTGTCTCGGACAAGACTAGCTTCTTCAACGACGCCAAAGAACTGAAATTACTCGGAACATTTCCAAGTAAGTCCATATACTTCAAATTCAGCTCCACAACTTCTTTATTGAAGTTGCAAGCTAACCCGAACCATTCACAAGGGGTATCGTCTGTTGTATCCCAATTGCTTAATGCCTCGAGGGACCCCTTCAACGTCCTCTTCCACGCTATAAGCGCTTCCCCCTGTGGATTCAAACCCGAAACAGTTGATAAAACGAAAAAAATGAAAGCCCAGAAAAGGGTCCATGAATTAACAGGCATTAGACCTATGCTACAAATTCCAATGTGTGCAAACACAAATAATAGGAAGAAGATTTGAGCCTAGGGAGAAACAATTGGGAGATAAAGAAAATCATGTCATGTGGGCTATGGATTAAATTAAGGGTTTATATAATAAATTTAAAGAAACCAGAATCTCTGGATCCAAGAACAGCTAGGCCATTATGTTTTTGCAGAGAGAGATGGAATTTTAGATGGCTAATTTTTTGTATTCTTTTACAGTAGTGCGCAGACAGAGAAATGGCTGTTTTTGTATTAAAATGAGAAAGGTAGAGACAAGTGATGAAATGAATGACTAGTGAGTACTGAGTAGGCACTGGAAATTTTTTAGTATCAACTTTTATCACTTTGCATGTGACCTTTACATCCTTCGATCTTATAATTTTCTAAAATTTTATTGGGATTTATTTTCATATATATATATATATATAGTTTTTCTAATTTTTGCACTTCTATCACTGTCAGCCAATTACTATGGCGAAGCATGCTATATGCATAGCTGGGACTTGTCTTCATTGTAATTTTTCTTCAGTAAAACTTGTCTTCATTGCATTTTTTTTCCTTCGGTAACTAATAAGGAGGAAAAAAACAAGAGTTTTTATAAATAACGAATTTAGACAAGACTTGATTTGTCATGACAAGAAAGACTCGACATCATCCACATGAATTACCTCGCTTATTCTTTTTAGAACTAAAACTCTTAGATGAAGTAGTACGTATTCCGTAATACTTTGCAGTTCAATTTTGGTATCTTTCAAGAAAAATATCAAAAAGTATGAATTTGAATGCAAAAATGTGCAAGGACTAAATCACTTTGGATCTAGATCTAAATCAGCAGACCACAGAATAAATACAGTATTGGATAGATCTTTATGATCTTATTCTTGATCCATAGCTAGGCAGATCTATGACACCATTAGGAATCATATTTGATTCTTAAGTATGTGACATGTCATGATTTGCAGTGGAAAATGATAAAATTGGCTGCCCATTTGACTTATTGGTGATAAACAATAGCCGGGAACATTTATTAGTAAGGCTGTGGTTGGTTTGCTATTTTCAGCCCATTTTTCGTTTTCCGTTTTCGAAAACGCGGAAAACGCGTTTGGTCCTTTATTTTCGAAAACGAGTTAAAATTTATAACTGAAAACGCAAAACGACTTTTTATTGTTTTCAGCGTTTTCAGTTATAAATGTCGAAAACGCTCAAAATACGGAAAACGGACCGTTTTCGGGGAAAATTAAAAATCGTTTTAAAAATAAAAATGCAAACCAACCACTACCTAACTTTTTAGAAGGAGTAATGGTGCGAACCACAAAACATGTGAATAATTATAAGAAGTGTAATACCCCTCATGGGGTGGTCGAATTAGTGGAGTAGGTGAGTGCAGAGGCCTTTGGTCAAGAGTTCGATTCCTCCTACTAACACTTTCTCGGTCGAGCCTGTCACACCAGGTTTGCCTAGTACGGTTAACCTAACTGGTGTGGTTTATCCAGTGCGCACTCGAAGGGTAGCGGCTGCGAGTTCACCCGTCATTAAAAAAAATAATAAAAAATTATAAGATGTGTAGTTGAAATTAATATTTGAATTTTGACAAACTTATAAAAGTAAAATTGAAAGCTCATAAAATGTTTCCCCGAACATAGGCATAGGTATTTTCCCTAATAAATAAAACCAGCAATCACGTGATGTCGCGTGACAGAAGGCTAACATACTGATTTGTTTGATCCACATGTTGCTTGTCTCGTGACTTAGATATGAAATTGTTATTATTTTACTTAAATTATCTTGCAAGGATGTTTATTAGGAATCTAAGCAAGAGATGAGGGGTTGCACATGAGAGGGACAAGGAGAATATTATTGTTCAACGTCAAGACATTACGTGTTTGTGTATTAATTTTGACGACTAATATATAATATAATATACAGTGGCGGATCCAGAAAAAAATTTAACATGGGCTAATACATATAAAAAATAAAATATTGTACATAAAAAAAAAATTTACTTCATTTTTTTTAATGGACATTTGAGGCCGAAGGGCTGGG